AGTATGTCAGATGCAGGTTGGAATTAAACTCTGCAGGACAGTAGGAGGGTTGGTGACCACTGGTCTAATATCATCATTCTAATATCATTCTAATATCTAATATCATAAGATAAAGCTCTGGCTCCCGAGTGGCGAAGCATTGGCCCTCTCATCAGGAGACCGTGAGTTCAATCCCTGGTGATACTGCGGTCATCTGTGGCTGGGAGTCCAAGAGAGCACTATTGGCCTCAGTCTCTGGGTGGGTAGGATGGCCCCCCCTTCTTCCCCCTTCAGCACGATGCTAGTCAGCGCAGGCGTCTGTTAGCTGACGTAACAGAACTGGTGGTTGGCGCTTTCCTCTGAGCGTGATGGCACTTCACAGGTCTCAGAGGAGGCTTGTGCTAGCCTACGCCCTCCTAGCGCTGGTGGTATTGTGTGATTATGGGAGCTGATATGAGTCCTAACTAGTGGGTGGAACTGGACGTGACAAAATTGTGGAAAATCCCAAAAAAAAAGGATAAAGCTACGTTTTAAAAACTGAATTTTTCTCACCTGTTTTAATTAAAAGAGCTTGGTGTAGTATATAAACATTGTTTACGTTTCAAAGCTTATAACTCATTCATTAGTCCACACAGTCCATATATGGAAACTCATCTGCAAAAACAGCCTGTTTTGAAACCAGCGTATTTAGAAATATCCACCTATTCAGCCTACAGCAGTTTTATACAATTAAAGGGTTTATTTCAGAACCATATGTCCAGGACCTAGCGATGCATAATGATATAAATTTCATATCACTATTGGCAGATAATTGCTTAAAAAAGAATAATCACCATTGGACAGATGTTTAGATCTGACTGATATTATAAAAACACTATTTCATGATGCATTTAGCCCATTCCAGAAGAGTAGACTGGATTACTGCACTAAATTTTCTTTTATTTTAAAATGTTTTATTTGCATTAATAATTTGACTTTTTTGTGAGCCTATAGAAGTAATAATATGCTATAGGGCATATTTATGTCATATTACTCTGTAATGCTAATCCAGGTGGATTTAGTTCAAATTTCTACATTTTATGTTTATAAATCTGTAGATACGTACATGAATAATATCAGACGTCTGCATCGGTCCACAGCTCCCATATCAGTGCATCCCTACCAAGAACCATTCAGGGACTTTTATTTATAAGACTATAGACCCAGACCTAAAATAATATGGAGCAGGAGAAGAAATGAGAGGATAATCAGAGCAAACTTAAAGGGAAATTTCACTGATTATTCAAAGTTCTCAATTGCAGATGTGAAGTGTGGAGTAGATAAACTTACTGATTTTCTTGTTTCCTTTACCAGGGTTATAATGTATATAACACAAATATATTGTCACTGTCCAAAGAAAACCATGTATCTCCATTTTTTCAAACGTTCACTTTTTCAATTTTCTACATTATTTCAACACTCCAGCTGTCTTTTACGTTGTGTCATGTGTTGCTGCTAAATTTCATGATGAAAGGACCAATAGAAATGCTCTAAAATCACTTTACATTAACTTACATTGAGTGTTTTTGCTTTCTCTTGTAAAGCTACTATTTTGGAGATACTTGTTTTTCTTTGGACAGCGACGATATCCACTTCAGTTACTATCCCAAACCACCATGCATCTTTTGAGATTTAAATGTTTTGTTGATGATAATAAAATAGCGATAAATAAAAAAAAACACATTTTCTTTGAGGACTGCTTTGCCTTATAACATCCTGCATGATAGATTTTAGGCCAACAGCTTTCATAAAACTATCATAAACAACGTCTCAGGCAACACATTCGTATAGGCATTAAACTCGTCAGACGTCTGGTTCCTATCACCACCACTGTGAACAGTTCTGACTCTGTAACTTTCTCTTGAACAGAGCATTTCACACCAAACCGCTCTGAAGGGAAATGCAGGGTGAGCGGCCCTCCAGAGATGCTGTGGGTGGGACATTGGGAGAGCTTCCCTGGACCGAGGAACTGTCTCAGTCCTCAAAGCTGGGAAGCCCCTCAGGGCCCAGCCAGTGCAGCAAACCTGGCTGTTCCGCAGCCTCTGTCTGATACATATGCAAATCGCCAGACAAAATGAGTGTAACGAGCCCCCCGAGGAGCGAACTGGACAGGCTGTGTCGTGGCCAGACAGTGGCGAGTATTTAAGAAGGACCTGAAGCTACTCCTTGTTATAATGAGGCTTTAAAAAACGGCCCCGATGACAAGCCTCCATCACATCTTCACTGCTGCCCAGACTGACTTTCATCTGAGGAGGCGTGACAGAAGGAACGGTGAAGTCACTCTCTCCAGCTGCTTAAAGGCAGAGATGAGTGATTGATGCTAAAGTGATATGGGAGATGACATGATGGGATATAGGACCTGTTAGAATAAATACATCATCAGTGATATGATGAGGCAGTAGTTCAGACCAGCAGGTGAGATTAGCATAAGTCGACACCACTGTCGCAAGTGCAGTGCAATCTAGGTGAGCCTGCAGAAGTGGCATGATGAAGGCTCATGCCAAAATGTGTTGGTTTTGACATTAATGTCTTGAGCATTTTTCCAGTCTAGAGTTGCCAGAGTTTCATTTCTGTTACACTTGACAACCTGGGATGCAACGTAGTGATAAAAGGTAATGAAAGGATGTAATATTAATCCCTTCAACCCTATAAAGCTGGCTTTACATGGTGAATTACATGGTGAGTTGCAACATAATTTCCAGGCAACTCGAGAGCAATTTAAAAGGAATCAAAGCTGATTGTTACACATTACTGCACTGGTCGGACAAATTAGTAGCTTGTATTTTTTGCTACATCAAATCATTTTGCTCCATAAAGTGTTTTACTTTTGGATGATTTTTCCAGCTGTTATTGTGGTTCATTTCTCTCTCTCTCTCTCTCTCTCTCTCTCTCTCTCTCTCTCTCTCTCTCTCTCTCTCTCTCTATATATATATATATATATATATATATATATATATATATATATATATATATATACATATAGTAGCTTGTGCAAATGATGTGCAAATCATGTAAACCCTACATTTCATTGAAAATATTACAAAGACAACATATCAAATGTTTTTTTTAAAAATATATGCTCCAAAAAAGTTGGGACGGGGGCAACAAAAGGCTATTAAAGTAATGCTAAAAAAAACACCTGGTGGTTGATTGGCATCAGGTCAATAACATGATTGGGTATAAAAAGAACATCCCAGAGAGGCTTTCAGAAGTAAAGCTGAGGAGGAGTTCACCACTCTGTGAAATACTGCACAATCAAATTCAAGAATAATGTTTCTCAATGTAAAATAGCTAAGAACTTTTGCTTTTCATCTTGTACAGTACATAATAACATTAAAAGATTTAGAGAATCTGGAGAAATCTCTGTATGCAAGGGACAGGGCCAAAAACCAGTATTTGCCGTGGTCTTTGGGCCCTCAGGTGGTACTGCATTAAAAGCAGACATGATTCTCTAACAGAAAGCACTGCATGGGCTCAAAAACACTTCTGTAAAACACTGTAAAAACTATAAAACACTCTATAAAAACGCTTCATCCACAAATGCAAGTTAAAACTCTACAACGCAAAAAAATGCAAGTTAAAACTCTACAACGCAAAGAAGAAACCATAAATAAACAGGATCCAGAAATGCTGCCTCCTGACTTACACATCTGTGAAGGCACCATTAATGCTGAATGATATATACATGTTTTGGCAACATATGCTGCCATCCAGACAACGTCTTTTTCAGGAAAGGCCTTAATAATTTCAGCAAGACAGTGTCAAACCACATTCTGTATGTATTACAACAGCATTGCTCCGTATTAAAAGAGAGCGGGTGCTAAACTGACCTGCCTGCAGTCCAGACCTGTCACCACTGAAAACATTTGCCGCATTAATAAATGAAAAATACAACAAAGGAGACCCTGAACTGCCAAGCAGCTGCAATCACATGTTAAATGAATCCCATGTTAATGAAATATAGGGTTTAAAAGATTTGCACATTATTGCATTTTGTTTTCATTTACATTTTGCACAGCGTCTCAACTTTTTTGTAAATTATATATATATATATACATATATATATATATATATACATATATATATATATATATATATATATATATATATATATATATATATATATATATATATATATATATATATAAATGACTGAAACGTACCTGATAGCATCTTTTACCTCCACAAGCATGAATAACAGCTGTGATTCAATTTGGCAATTTGGCACTTTGAATACAGGGATAGGACTTTTATGTTTGGTAAGATGATGAGCAAAAGGCAAAACCTGGTTGTCCCCCAGAACATCATAGAGCCTCCAGCTTGAACCACACCTGCACCCAGTCCTTATTGAAGCCTTCCTGTGGTCTACGATGAACACAACGCCGAGCATCATTCACATACAGGCAGAAACGAGAAGGTGTTGCTAGGCTGTTGCTGTGTTATCCCAGGTAGTTGCTAAGGTGCTGCTAGGTCCTTGTTGTGCTATCCTAGGTGGTTCCTAAGTTGTTACTAGGCAGTTGTTATGCTATCCCAGGTGGTTGCAAGGATGTTTCTAGGCCTTTTTTATCCTTAGTGGCATCATTTGTGGCAGTTCTCTCAGCATTCTGCTATTCATTGTCTATGAGAAATCACAGACCAAACCATGTTTAAATGAGCACCGTCTGAAAAATGTGCCTACAATCGGTCCCAAAAGCACAAGTGCACTAAAACTGTGACCCAAAAAAATACAAAAACACAGAATAATAGAACAAAGAACAGTAATTAATACCTAATAACTTAATAATAGAGTATTACACCTTGACCTGAAGTTCAAAGGATTAACACAGAGGCACTAGAGAAAAGGACAGAATGATGCAGAAGTATGAAATAACTCAGTGAAGGGTGTAGCATACAGTGAGTGGTGGTGCAACTTCTTTGGCCTCTTTCCCTCTCTCACACACACACACACACACACACTCACACACACACACACACACACACACCTGTGCCTTTCTTGCAGATGTAGGGCAGGTTGTAGTTGCAGGGCACGTCGTTCCATTTGCCATTCTCATGGGCGATCATCACCACGCAGTCCTCTCCGCCCGCAAAGAAATTATCCGGCTGGTTCTCCCTCCAGTTCTCATATTGCTGCAGGAGGCACAGAGACATTTCAGACTCGAACCCAATCCCATGGTTTTGCTGCCCATTTAACATATCCTGCTACATATCCAATGCATTACAAATTCATTTCTAGATACATGAAATGGCTTTTAGATCCTGGGTGTAAACACTTGTGTGAAAGTTTTACAGCTTGAGAAAGTTCAGAATGCGATAAACTTTTTTTTTTTCACGAGAACATGTTCTACCCGAGTGTGCACTTTGGGCTCTGTGATCTTTTGTTCTGCTTCATAAGAAGCAATTAAGGAGCACAAGGACAGACAAAAAGGCCTGCTATAAGCAGTTTTTGGTCAAATATCGTAGCTGTGATGTGCTGGGGGCGACTCTCTCGCACCTTCCCCACAACCCTCGCTCTTCCATTTGCTGTGTAGCTACCTCACTGCCCTGCATTTGCATCTTCCACATGAATAGACCTGGGTAAACACTTAACCTTCCATAATTCAACCTTTCTACACATTACTACAGTCTTCATCTCGGTCTGAGGGGAAAAACACTTAACCACAACATAAAGTGCTAAGCTTTCTAGAGGCTTTGTGAGATTGCTAAGGGCAGCATGATATGGATAAAACAGTATTGTGGTTATATTGCTACACTATATAAATGCCATACACCCTCAAATACAGCACTGTTTCATTTATTTCATTTCCAGTCAAAATGAACATTAGGTTCACTTGTTTTTCAGGATCAGGAAAATAAACAGAAAAAGGCAGATTTAGCAGAACACAGAAGCCTCAACAATTAAATACAATATCTTTTTTCAATATTTACTTTTCAGGAGACCTGCTTTCATAGAAATCTGCAGGGATATTTTTCTTCACCTCTGAAGTTCAGTCTTGAACTTGAAGTTGGTTATTAGTTGCATCTCTTTCTTATGATGTTGAGGTCTGGACTCAGTCAATTGCTCTGAGAACAACAGCAGCTTGATTTGCAAATGTTCTACGTTTTTATCTCCTTTTCTCAGTGAGGTTCTTCTTGACAGCTACACATCCTTTCAGACCCATAGCCCTGAGTTGTCTTCTCACAGTGGAAGGATGGACAGAAACACCTGTGGATGTTTTCTGATCTGAAGCAGCTTGATTTTCTCCTCTCTCTCAAAGATGAAAGCTTCAAGTGCTGTTTATCTGATGGGGACACTTCTGGTGGTCAGTCAGGTCTTGCATGGAGTCCCATTTTCTCTGGACCTTTAAATATTTTTCACACTCCAGTTTTGGAAACTTTACTTATTGACTTTCCTCTTACACAAGTGGATCTTTTTTTTTTCTAATTGCATCAGAAACACCGTCCTTAGCTATTTTACACTGTTTGAAATAAAGGTTCTGTACAGGTACATTTTTCGTTTGTCAGGGTACAAACAATGTAAATGTTCCCTCAAAGGTACAACAGTGGTTTTAAGGTCCAGTTGTGAACCTTAAATAAGTTTTTTCAGGTGAAAAGTACATATTTGTATCTTTTCATAACCGAATGTTTTAAAACAGAACAGTAAAATAAAAGCCTGGAGGCGAGACGGGGTGTGTGTAGTACAGCTTAGAGAATATCATTTCAGTGGATTACGGTACAGTTATGTGCCCTGACTAAAGGTACTGAGATGTACCCTTGAGGGGAGAAAGTGTAGATGCACATGAGAAAAGAATTTAAAGGCAGCTGAGGTGAGTTTGGGTAGTTGTGTGAATCTTGGTGTCCATTTGAAGGGGAACATAATGTCAATGAGATCTTTGGGAGCAGCTTTTGTTGAGAGGACACAGCTGGTTTAAGATTGGAAGGATGGAAGAGTTAGTGATGCTGATTGATTTGGAGGCTTTTGTGCAATGTTCTGTTAAATGTGCTTATTGCTTTTTTCTAAGACTAAAAAATGAACAACCAATGGCCCTTTTAACTGGAAATTAAATAAATGAAGGGGTGGTCTTTGACTTTTGCACAGTACTGTATATTTAAATGTTACATGGAACAAGCTGCATGGTAAAAAGTTAGCCTGCATTTCAAGCAAAATAATTCACCTTTGTTGGATTACATAAACACCCTGATTCGTCAAAAAACCCCAAAGAAACACATATCAGGAATTGTTACTGGTTAAGATGCTCAGAGCATACAGCACTGTGATTGGTTAGAGGGTTTGTATGCATACTACAGCTCCCTTTATCACAAAGCCTAACATTTCAATAACGATTAACCAAGAATATATTATGCAGCTCCATATAAGAGTTACCTTTCTATAATATAATGTTACCAACCTACGTATGAAAGCCTAGCAGAACACAGAGGAAACAACACACCAAGAGAAAAATCTAACTACACTGACACATCTGACTGCTTATGCGCTTGACTCGTGTGATTTAGGCCAGTGTTTCCCAGTTTATTCCTCTGGGACCTCTAGGGGATCCCCATTTGTGCTCTACACCCCTGGAGCAGAGACATTATCAAAATAAGAGGCAGTTTACAGGCTGCGATATGAATAGTGTAACTCATAACGACCCAGATGGCAACTGTATTATGGGATGTTACGCCCCTCATTTGTAAAGGCGTAACCAGACAAGTTTTGGACTAACGCTTAGTTCCAGACACCAAAGTCTTTACACCTGAAACACTACAGAAGCCACATAAACAGCTATAAAGAAGTTGAGGTCACACTTTTGCCTTTCCTGTTGTGGAGATAGATACACACTTTTAAAAATAAATGATTCTTTGAGTGTCCACTCATTGAAGAACCACTTTTGGTCCCCTCGTTCACCAACCGTTCTTAAGAAGTTATTTCTTCCTAAAACCCACTTAAGCAATTTTGACAAAGATTCTGACAGTCATCAGTGTTTTGTTATTTGGGATTTGTTCTTAGGTAAGAACAGAATCTACACTCACTAAAGAGCACAAAGGTGCAAATAATTCTGTGGTTTAGGAACACGTCATGAATCTGACGTAGACCTTCTCTTAGGACGTTTCTCAAGAACAGATTTAAGATAAAACCTAGGAAGATATTGATGAATGAGGCCCAACGTTTGTAAAATAATGTGAGTGTAAAAAAACCTTCTTAAAGGTTTAAAGTCTGGACATTCTATACCGATTTAAGAGCTCTTCCTAGAACCTTCATGCTATGTGGAGGTTGTTTAGGCTTTAAAGAAGTTCTTCACACTCACACATATCATTTACAAAAAGGGTTCTCTATCATCCATTGAACGTTTTTGGCACTTATTTTGGACTATACGTGTGCGGTTGCTGTATAGTGTTTTTTTCAAAGACAACAAATTAAACACAAGTCATTTTTTTCAGATTTGTCAATGATATTTGTTAATGATGATGTTAAAGATCAGTTTCAAGTTTATAAACTCTTAAAAATCAAGTCTTCCAAATGGTTCTTGGATTGGGTATATGGTTCTAGGAAAAGACCTTTGTTATTTGTTATTTGGTACAGAACCTTAAATAGGTGCCAAATAGGATGTTGAAGTAATGCACTGGAAACATTTTATGCTGTACATAACTTAAAGTCTTAAATTCCATTTAAAATTGTATTTTTTATGTATTTACTAACAAAATACAGTGTAATGTAGGAGCTTGTATACCTTCATTTTTATACGCTCTTAAAAAAGTGGTTCTTCAAGGGTTCTTTAGTAAAGAAAATGGTTCTATAAAGAACCCTGAAGACTCAAAGAAACCTATGCATGATTAGAAGGTTCTCTGTAATATGAAAGTGTTCTTCAGATTGATGGAGAATGTGCTATAGATGGTTCTATATAGAGTGTATTGTTTTGTCTTTTTGGTCTTCAGCCCACCAAAACAGTGCACTTTGGGCCCCAAGACAAAAAGATTGGGCACTCTTGGCCCAGACCCTTATAAATCAAGGTTCCTAAATGGATCTGTTTGGGTATATGGCTCTAGAAAAAAAAAATTTGGTACAGAACATAGATTTACACAGATTTTCTTCACAATCACACCTCATTTAGAACGTCTTTTTAAAGAATCATCAATTTAAAGGTTTTTTAGGGCACCAAAAGTGGTTCTTGTGTGGCATTACTCCAGAGAATCCTTTTAGCCACCTGTATTTTTAAGAGCGTAGGTCTCGGCTCATTCGAGACAGGTAGGAGTCTGGTTTTCTATGACTGGAAATAGCTGCCTGGAGGGTGTTGCCAAGGCGGCCAGTGAGTTGCCAGGTTCGCTTATGAGGACTTTGCCTGAACCAAACAATCATGAACTGAACACCCAGTTCAGATATGCTGGGAGCCGAGGCAGAGCAGAAATGCGAGAGTCCCCAAGGACTGGATTTGGAATCACTGATCTAGTCCAAATGATGTGTGTAGTGCACTAGCTATTACACTCTAAATCAGTCTGCTCTCGAGAGACATGCAGAGTTTGCGGCCTCACCAGATCCATGTTATCAGTCCACTGGAAGTCCTCTTCTACTGTCCTGTCATTCAGACCAATCCAAGTGTTCTCATGGCTCATACCTGATAACAGAAGAGAAGCAGGAAAACAAAATAAACCAAAAACAGTTTTATTGTTTAACTCAGTCTGTATGCCCGAAAGCCAAGTCTCTGACCAGCCACACAGCCAGTGGCCAGCAATAACAATAACAGACACCACTCAGGCCTTAATGCACGGTCTGCTCTTTGCGCTAAGCACGGTGCCAATATATTGGTATTATCACATTTACAGGCTGTCCCAAACAGGCTGTCCCATTCCCCATCATGTATTCATGAGCGCTTTTGGAGGGGGGGTGAGGTTGTAATGGAATTTCAATCATGGTGTTACTGATTAACATCCTTATGGGCGCCATTAATCTTCCTAATGGCTGTGCTCCCTTTATTGCAGGGGTGGAGACCAGCGTTTTCAAGGCGATTAAGCAAGGTTTTTTTGGGAACTGCATCGTGGCTCTTTGGGGAGATGGTGGCAGGAAGCAGGTGGGAAGTGTTATTAGTGACAATCAATGTGTTTTGAATTGGTGCAAAAGAGGCATAATTCCATAGCTAAGCACTACTGAAACTTATCTTTTATAAAACAAGAGATAAGAAAGAAATAATGGTGATAAAAATTGTAGTGAATGGAACTGAATGTATCTGAACTGCACTATATAGACAAAAGTATTGGGACACACCTTCTAATTATTGAGCTCAGGTGTTTCAGCCTCACCCATTGCTAACAGGTGGATAAAATTAAGCACATAACCTTGATAGACAAGCACTGGCAGTAGAATGGGTCATACTGATGAGCTCAGCGACTTTAAACATGGCACTGTCATAGGATGCCACCTCTGCCAAAGGTGGTGTAAAGTACGCTGTCTATCTGTCAGTCTGATGGGCAAGTCTGGGTTTGGCAAATGCCAGGAGAACGTTACCTGCCTGACTGCATTGTGCCAACTGTAAAGTTTGGTGAGAGATAATGGTATGGGGTTGTTTTTTTTCAGGGGTTGGCCTAGAACCCTTAGTTCCAGTGAAGGGAAATCTTAATGCTTCAGCAGACCAAGAAATTTTGGGCAATTCTATGTCTCCAACAGTTTGGTGAAGGCCCTTTTCTATTCCAGCATGACTGAGCCCCAGAGCACAAAGCAAGGTCCCTAAAGGCATGGCTGGGTGAGTTTGGTGTGGAAGAGCTTGACTGGCCCTCACAGAGCCCTGACCTCAACCCCATCTAACACCTTGGGGATAAACCAGAACGGAGATTGTGAGCCAGGCCCTCTCATCCAACATCAGTGTCTGAACTCACAAATGCTCTTCTGGATGAATGAGCAAAGATTCCACAGACACTCTCCAAAATCTTGTAGAAAGCTTCTCAGAAGAGTGGAAGCTCTTATAGCTGCAAAGGGAGGACCAACTCCATATTATTGCCTATAGATTTAGACTGGGATGTCATAAAAGCTCCTGTGGTTGTAATGTGTACGTGTCCCAATACTTTTGTCCATATAGTGTATGTTTATGGACATACACTTCTCTGCTCTAACTTCTTGTGAAACATCCACTTACTGGCCACTTTATTAGACCTACTTTGTTGGTACACAGTGTAGGTGTGCCCCTAGAAAAAACTCCATAACACACATAACCACATATATCAAGACTGTTACAGTGATTTTATTCTGCCTCATGTTGAGGGGAAAATGCACAGCCTCTCATTGCTTACTGCTTTAGAATTTCACAAGACATACAGAACATTATCGCCAAATTGCGTCATAAAATCTGCCCTAATAACTTTTTCTCCGTATGACTTTCATTTACAACTTTTGGTTCAATATCAAATATGTCAGTGTGAATGCTAAGTGGACCAGAACTGAAATGCAACCATGTATTATTTCTGCTTTGGTCCAGTCCAAGGGAACTGAACTACAGATAGAAACACACCCTTAGAGACTTGCTCATCTTTTTCAATGCATAATTGAAGTGCGTCCTCTAGTCCTTCTGCAGTGGTCTGTTTCTGAATACCCAACAACTGTTGCCATCATATTTCTGGCTGGTGGACTCCAGTGGTGACAGAGAGGCTACACACCCTACCATGGCATTACCATGTTGGTGTCACTGCTGTGCTGAGAGTGGTCCACCACCCAAACAATGTCTGGTCTGTGGTGGTCCCTTTACCATTGATAGATGAAGTAGATGATGGCTGATAAATTGTGCAGCAACAGATGGGCTACATTTAGTAACTGTTAGCCTGCACAGTGCATCTGTATGGTTTGTAAACTGGCCAGTGAGTGTAGGTCCAAGGTAGGTGTACTTAATAAATGCGTAACTCTGCATTTTGTATTGTCCTGCAGAATCATCAGATAAAGAAGAGTAAAGACTGACTGTTGATGAAGTCCTGCTCTTCGTGGGTGTGTATGCTAGCCAGATGACCGTTGTGCTCTCTGCAGTCTTTCTCTGCATCCTCCCAGGTGCGTCTGTGGGTGAAGTACCTGTAGCAGTGACCGTGAAACTTCCTCCAGGTGTGATCACAGCCTTCAGTGTCTACAGAGAGAAAGAAAGAGAGAGAGAAATTAAAGTGTTAATCTCTTTGTTCTTTGACGTTTTTGCACCTGAAACACCTTAAACTGACCTGTCCATGCTCTACCAACAGATACTTTCTTTTATAGAAGCTATAGACTTCTAAAGTTATGTGTAATCAAAGGCAGAAAAAACGTGAGACGCACTGCACCCTTTTTATGGAGTTGCATGTTTTGAATGCTGTTTCAGGCTGTGTCCCCATTTTGCTAAGCAACAACAACGATGTAACTGTTAGCAGAGACGTTATAAAGGAGGAGATGGGTCACTGGTTGGAAAATTAATGGGAAAGCATCTTAAACTCGAAACCCAACACTGTGTAGCAACTCTAAACCAAGTAACAGCCTCTCATCAGGATGACCAGGACTTTTTGCTAACATTCTATTAAGCTTGCCCAGTCTAGCATCAGTTGCTTCAAAAGAACGCCTTCGTGGGGAGCGAGAGTTTAAAAAAGGTCACTGCAAGGCCTCAAAGCCACCTCTCTCTCTTCTCCTTCATTCATCTTGCATTCACACACACACTCACCCACAGTGAGAAATCTACTCTGCGTCACACAACACTCACACACATGGCAGCTCAGTCGTATGCTGAAAACTCAGCCCCCCTAAAGAGAGAGACATGTCTAACTGTTTCATTTCCTCTGTCTGGCTCTTCATGCTCGGGCTCTCTCTAATCCGTGTCTGTGCGCATTATGAGCGAGCAGCTTAGCATTAGCAGAAAAACGACAGCAATCCAGAGAAATGGCTTCCACTGCTGTGCTCAACGGCTAATTAAGCCCTGTCACTTCCCCGTCTGAGGCCTTTACCCAAACCCTCTGGGGCTTTACAGCATCTGCACCCTCCAGTATGTGAGAGATTGTGTGTGAGTAAGTGGGTATGGGTAGGACAGTGTGCATGTGCATGTGTTCGGGAGAGAATAAGTGAAGTTATATGTGCTTACAAGTGCTTATAATATAAAATTATAATATTATAAGTGCCTAAAATATGCTGTAATATATTGCAATATTGTAATGTATTTGTAATATATTTTCATTTTTATTTTAATATGTTTAAGCACATACATACTTTTAACATAATTTAAAATTGCCAGCTGCCCTTTACACTGTGTCAACATTTTACGGTGAATGGACCATTAGAAATGGTCCAGAATTAACTGGAATTACATTAACTTACATTAACTTACATTGTTCCCCATTTGGGTTACACTGTAAGTTACACTGTACACAAATTACGAATGTTTTTCCTTCTCCTGTTAAATCCTGTTAACTTTTTTGAGATAGAAAGTTTTGTTCCATCAGCAACAATATTGTGGTGTTGGTGTGGAATAAGATGCAAGGAACATAGCACTTCGAGCGAATGCTCTTTTGTTGAACACAACAGCAGGGGAGACCCGCCACACAGCGCTAGTGAACAGTCAGGACAGCGGGGCAGGTCACCTCTGGCCATACAATGTCTGTTTGTGGTAGTTACACAACCCCACTAACCAGCCCCTTAGCCCAGCGCAATGAAGCACAAGAAACACGTACACAGGTTTTAGATCAACAGCGACGGCTATTTACAAGAATTAAAGTCTCTCCTACTACAAGTGTGGGGCCTCCATGAGCCTGTGTGCATGGCTGCTACATAGCCCCCCTTTCAAAGGTCAGCTGTCCCGGTCCTCACAGGGTTCAAGTAGAGTCCCTGGGACGTACCATCCCGGTTATCTCACAGGGTTCAAGCGGAGTACCTGAGACGCACCATCCCGGGGACCTCACAGGGTTTAGGCAGAGTCTGCTGGGAAGCTGAATATCATTCCTGTATTTATTAACGAATGTCAGTGGTGCATCAGTGGATTTCTTTATCAGTGTGGGGGGAGTCCCAGTGACTGTATGATGTAGGAGCATAATGCATTCTGGGTAGTGTAGTGAGAAAACACTGATGGATGAAAGAACTAAAGCGGGATACAACGCTGCGCTATAAAATACTGAGTAACAATACAAATAACACATTAAATGCTACTTTAGGCCAGAAAGCCTTGTTAATGGACGTTAAAGAGGTTCTGAAATGACAGTGGCGATATTTTCCTGTATGTGTGTGTAAGACAGGGTTTGTGCGAGCTGAAAGGTTTTATCTTTAAGCCCATTTCAGCATCTTGGTCAGCTCATTTTGTGAAGCTCTTAGCAATGCACCCTCTTTTTTCTTCCAGCAAATCTAAAGCGACACCGCTAAATTGGCTGGTGCAAATTGGGCCGTATGAGGCTCTGCTTAGCATGCAGACGCGCAAACAGCCCGGACCGGGCGAGAGAAGGGATGCAGTGGAGCACAGCCGAAACAAAGGTGTTCGAGAGAGACGGTGACATGTGCCTTCAGCTGCTGATGTCATTTCCCCCCCTCAAACTCCTTCTCTCCCTTCATTCTCGATCAGCAGGGACATGATTGCTTCTGATGAACTTTTATGCAGCACGATCAAAGCTTTTTCCTCTGTTCTGCTTCACTCGGCCTTGAAAAAAAGGCTCTGAATCTACTATTCAAATGTGTACATCATAAACACATGAATACAATAGAGTACATCAACACATTTACTGCCAAAAGCAGACAAACTGTGTATATATTTTATTGGAACGTAGACAAAATGTGCACATATGAACTAGTTATACTAATCAAACTTTTTTCAGTGTATGAATTTTACCTGCATAGAGATAAGCAAAAGAGACAAAGAACATGAAGATAAACCTGAGCCGTGTGTACAGTGGTTAAAAAAAAAGCAGACATCTAAAGATATGTGACAAGCAGTGGCTTGTTTTTTGCCTAAGCTTTTATTTTCTGTCTGAAATCAGAGTTCTGTGTGAGACTGAATTACAGAGCTCTGCTTCAGTACTGTCCTCTATATTTTGCATGATATGCACGCTGTCAGTGCTCTCCTTGAGTCATCTGACATCAAATTTTATGAGGGATCATTGCCAGTTTGGGTGTAATGCAATATAAAGTAATACATGAGAGTAATATAATTACTTTTTCCTTTACAGATTTCCTCTACGTAGATTATCCTGTTGTTTATCCTGTAGATTATCCTTATTGTATACTTGTACACAATTTGCACAAATGTGTGCTACCTGTGCCCACTGTCTGCACGATTTTGATTGAGCGTGAGAAGTGCTGTAAACTCAGTGAGCAATCTGTTAAAGCACCTAATTATGCTACTATGCAACTGATGGATAAAGATCCTTGTTCTGAAGAACAGAGAACGAGAGAACCCCAACCTCAATTGTTTTCTTTCAGAAAGAACTCTGTAAGCTTTATAGTTTATTTAAAATAATTTATTTCAACACTGCAAAAAATGGTATCTTGTCAAGTGAAATGATCTTTAATCTAGTTGATATATCTAATATTGCCCATTTTGAGATGGTTGTGCACTTATAAGATTTTCTAGCGTATCTCTAGACAGTTTTCACTTGTTTTAGGTATTTTTTAGTAAAGAAAGTAAGTAAATTTATCTTATTCTACTGGCAGATAATTTTGCTGGTTTCAAGCACATTTCTTAAAACAAGCTAAATTATCTTAGTTATAATTATAATATAGTGAGATCATTTTACTTAAAAAAATTACTTAAAACAAGGCAAACACATCTCTTGCTATTGGAAACAATGGAACAATGGAAAAAAGGCGCCACAGTATGCAAAAAACACATCCATTGTGAACCCCCCTCCTTATGCCGGCAGTATACCTCCAATGAAAACAATATTTCAAAGCAAAACAATCTTTCTGGCCAAAAAACAATGCAGTGTGCGCTGCTTACTAAACAGAAGTTCTAAACACAGTATCATTTGCTCTGGGACCTCCCCCTGTCTGTAATTGGTCCTAATCACTGTGTCATTCATTGCGTGACCTCCATCTGAATGTGACTAGCGGTGCTGAGCCATGCACTGAATTTTAAACATATTTTAAACAGTGTTAGTTGGTTTATGTAGTTTTTTAGATGTAAACTGCCTGCTTTAGTCTGCATTACACTCTTAAAAATGATGGTTCTTCAAGGGTTCTTTAGTAAAGAAAATGGTGCTATATAGAATCATGAACACTCAAAGAACGCTTTGCAGGATTAAAAGGTTCTTTGCATCATGAAATGGTTCTTCAGATTGATGGAGAACATGCTGTAGATGGTTCTATATAGAAAAGTGTATTGTCTTGTCTTTCTGGCCTTCAGCCCAAACAGTGCACTTTGGACCCCAAGACAAGGTACCCTTGGCCCAGACCCTTCAACAAGGTTCCTAAATGGATCTGTTTGGGTATATGGCTCTAGAAAAAATGGCATTGCAACAATAGAAGAACTCTTTTTGGTTCTATACAGAACCAAATAAAACTCATTCTCCATTAATCTATACAACCCTTTCATGATGCAAAGAACTTTTTAAGCATGCAAAGGGTTATTTGAGTGTTCATGGTTCTATATAGCACCATTTTCTTTACTAAAGAACCCTTCAAGAACCATTTTTAAGTGTGTAGTCTGTAAAGTGTATTTCTGCATTCGGCCTCTTCTCCACTATGATGGTAGGAAACACTCTGGCAGTGGCTGAGTTACTGTGGGCGAGATGAGAACCTTCTGCATTCTCTCCACCAAAATAACACACTGTTCCCAGCTGGAAAACACCCCACGTTTGTTACCGGATCAAACAGCATGTCAGGCCAATGAAAACACAGCCAAGAGATGCTCTAAAGGTACAAACGACTGCTTCTCTTTTCAGAGTATCACCAACACCAGCACATCTTCACAAGCCCAACTACCACGACGCAAAAGAGCAACAGCTCTGTGTTCACTGCTGCAGGTGTGATGGTGGAGGAATTTAAACCATGTAGCACTCACACACACACACACACACACACACACACAGGCGTTTCTCTTCTTCTCTCCAGCCCATCAGGAGCAGTGCGAGAGCGCAGTGGTCGGTGTATTGTGGTACAGTGGGAGCACGTCCAAATCAGCTCGCTCCAGTG